GTGGACGTTACGTTGCCAGTCTCATCACTTAGTTTATAGACCTCGTATATAGATGTGCAATAAAATATGGGATATTCACTTTTAAATATTTTTCAGATTTTGGTATTCGTACTTTCTATCATAATCGCGAAATATTTCGAAAATGATATATTGTTTTTTGCGCTATATGACATCCATATCACGAACTACCCTGTCACTGATTTCTGTCGGTCTGTCTGTGTATCTGTCTGTCGGTCCCTCTTTCTACCTCTGTCTGTCCGTTTATCCTTGGCCTGTCTGTAACTTGGAAAGTACCAATCGGCTATTAAAGAAATTTTCATACAAGTTACTAATATGCCAAAGACGAAAAAACTTTGTAGTTTTTGAAAATCAGCACAGCATCAGCAGCGGTGCTGGGATAAAAACCTAGTCCTAGCTTTACGTTACTCTTAGGTAAGTTTATTATTGCCAAACATTTGTTTATATAAGTAATAGACATCCCTTAATGTCTACTGTCTATTTTCTGCGTTTCAACTGAGTCACTCCGGTGATTTAAGAGAAATAAAGAATAAATAAATTTAAAGAAATGCACACTTTGTGTCTCAGTAACGACGCCGTAAAATACATGAGCTTTTTTGTTCCGAGAAATGTGATCTACTAGCTCGTATACTATAAATTATAAAGCTGAATAACTGTACGCATACAACATGGAATATTAAAAAATAAGAATAATTCAAAATCAAAAATATCACGAAATTAATAGATAAACTTTTCAGTATTCAGTATTTTGAATCTGGGTGGACTCACGCGTTCTAACGGTATCCTACTAATCCTGACTCAGCCCCTTCCCCTTGAGCCGTCCCTAAAAAGCGCCCAACTGAAACGTCATTTGCAGTGCCCCTTTTTTAGAGCGAGACGACTCTATATCCGTATATTGTATATGATATATGATGTATGCATTATTAATCCAATAATTACACATTATATTCATGTCGACTTAATGTAACGAACACGACAAGTAGCTACATGCTATGATTCACAAGTTCGTTTCATGTCTGGTTTATGATGGAGGTGTATATCAGTTTTACACATCAGCTGTCAACCTCGATGGAAAAGAATATGGTGACGATTATACCTGCGTTTACTGCTTTACTAATATTGAAGCAGATAGGCTGATAATTATAAGGCTTTTTTTGGTCTTGAAATCTTGTTTTCTATTTAGCGAGTGGTTTTTGATCAGCCAGTATATCGTAATTGAAACTAATGTACAGAAGAATATTGCACTGAGAAACTTATCTTAGTCTCAAAACCAACCAAAACGAGGTTTCTGTGTAACTTGGGTGCATAAATCACTAATTTAACATTTTTTTTCGCTGATATAGACAGAAGGCCCAAGAATTCCCATTTTTTCCTTCAAATAGGACTCATGACAATTTTACAGCGAAATATTCAAAATTACCCTCACAGATTACCTCAATGCTCCGGAGTCTGTTCACTCGTAAAACCGTGTATAAAAAAGAAATACATTCTGTATGTATGCTATTAGGGTAAATCTCTACAATATGCCCCAGCGGGCAATAGGCCCCACAACGCTGTCGCTCAAACAGACAGATATAGTTACATCCACCCTTCAGCTGGATAGATACACCCACACACATGCCGGTATACAATAAGTTTTTTTTGTTTATGATTTACTGACTGAAGGCGACCAAGATATCCAAATAAAGAGAAGAAAGGTTACAGGCCGATGGTTCACCTGAATGGGTTCCCTACTTTTAATTTTATTGATTTCAACAGAGTAATGCGTAGTTTGGCATGTTATAGAGTAATTGAGTTTATACAGGGTAATACATATTATTATTTTTTCTGTCTAGACGATATATGATAAATAGCATTTTCTGGAAAATAGGCTTGAAAAATAGAGTGCTTTAGCGATAACCCACCTGTCGTTCTGGTTTCCTTAACATTGTGCAATATCAGTAACTACTATACTGATTCTAACAGAGGTTGGAATGGATTATTGTTCGGTCACAAGTTTGAAAATGAGTGTAAGAGCGCTAAACTTAGTAACCAGAAAAGAAAGCAGATTTTCCAAACTGTGTGCTTACATCCTAAAAGCTTTCTCAGTGTAGATGAAAGCAATCACTTTGTTTTTTATGTGTTCATATTTATTTTTCAGGGAACATGAAAAATGTAGACTGAAGAGTATAAAATTAAATAAAGAAATGGAACATCACACCTACTTTCTCGCAATATACTTGAACGATCTACTTTGGAAATGTTTGGCAATAATCATTGACGTAGAATGCAAAACTAAATAACAAATTTGTATTTTCTTCTTTTTGGTACTACCCAGTCATGAATCACAAAAATTTAGTTGCTCAGCACGATGTAACTTTAAACTAACAACTTTTTAGGAGAGCATAAAAGAACGGTGGGCCTTTGGAGTCGCTATCGAATGATCTTATAATCCTCCATGTTTGTCTAGTCGCAAATGAAACCTCATAAGCTAATAGTGCCTACTGATGACATTCCTGCGTTTAGTGGTGTTACAACTTAAGCGATGATGTCTCAAATTCCAAATATGTTAGAATAACAATAGTCGCCTTTACATCATTAGCGGATCATCGAAATATTAGCACCCCACTTCCTGCTAGTTTCGCAACACGTAAAACAATCCGGTGTTTTGCGGTCAACTACCTTCAGGTGACCTTCATTCCTGGATGTTTACCTTCCTCCTGACTAGCTGCTATATCACAGACATCACAGTTTAACTGCCTGTAGGATTTGGTATACCACAATGTAATTTCAGACACCTCGCCAAAAACTGTTTCAACGACGGAGTGACGCTACTCTTCTATAGTCCATATCATTTCGCCACTACTTGCTTAACCACCTTAGGCGCTAATGCGACGTTGCAGTTCAGTATCTTGGGAGGCCAGAAGATGAATGAGGTATGTGCAACTTCGATTGCAGATTTTTGTACCTGGATCACTGTGTGTGTTCTTTTTACCGACTCCTTAGTATCTACCCTGTACTACTCGACAGGCCACCTACTGGTAACGTATTATTGAATAAGTCAGCTCCAGCGGTGCGATGTGCCTATGTTGATCTTGCACCGATCTGGTGAATTATATCGACAACACACAACACAACATCCTCATCCCAGAATTAACCTCCGAGGCGGAGATTCGAGCTCGTGAGTCTAGGGTCGACTGATTACTAGCTGGATGCGCTAACTACTCGGCTATCCTGGCCCCCTAGTAGTAAACATACACAGAGACAGATAGCATTTCGATACTTCATAACTATACACTGATAACAAACCTATAATGGACATATTTTATTCTTCTTCTAATGGCCACCCAGTATAAATGGATACTAACAGGCAAACATAGAACATAGTAGATTATAATATGTAGCTTATAGACTGACCGTAGCATAGTATAATGAAGCATAATGATAGAAGGGCAGCTTTATACTATCAATTTGGCCGTTATCTGATCTACATATGTATTTGAGGAAATTACAGCGTAATGTAGAAGCTTCGTTTTATACGTATACTTACTTGAATAGCTCGCGACTAAGTCATTTATTTATACTACGTATTTGGCTTTTAGCAGCGGTGGCGATGGAGATGCGGCACTTTATATTGAAATTTGCATTTTGAAAAAAACACCGTTTTGCAACGTCAGTTTCAGGTATGGCATCTTTAGGCCTTTAGAAAACTGAAGAAGTCAATTTTTCCGAATAGTACCGACCTTTCTTATATTCCATCGTATTAAGTGTTTAAAAATAAGGTTAATTTTGAGAACGATCTGTTTGCTTCCCGTCTCCTGTAACGATGACCAACCACAGACAGCGCTGTTTCGTGCTCATTAGCAACTCATCAGTGCGGTATAGGTCTGGTCGTGGAGAGAAACGAAACGGAAAGCAAACACTTGTTTGTGTGTGAACTTGCATACAGCAAACTAGCAGTAGCTTTTCTGTGCTGCAATGACTTGTTTGATAAGAAACATAATGCTCTGTCGCCATGTCATAGGCAACTGAGAATTAACTGATCGAAAATCAATTTTTCCATATCCTCCTGGAATCCAGCGTCCATTTAAATGGACATGCAGTTTTATACTCTCAATCAAAGGAACGATTTAATATTTAAGCAGCGTACACCTCGCATCCACTACGATGGACACTTCCGTGCTGACACCTAGACCGATTCGGCTGACTTTAGTCGCGCACCTGCGCCGTGAATCAGTTGTTTGTTTTCTGTTATGATGGCGGCTGCACGTGATTCTCGTTTGGATGGTATGTAACCTAGTTTTTAGTTTTAGATTTTTGTGGAAATATATATTTGTTATTGTTTGATAGATAAATTTAAACAGCTTTTTAATAATAAAATTTTTAAATAACCTTTGTATTAGCCTAAATTATTTGCATCCATTTAAATGGACAATATTTTTAAATTATTCAGAAAATTTATTTTAACAATTTTTGGCAACAAAAGAGTGCTTAGGCCAGGGGAAGATGACGAAAAATTTGAGCAAATCCTACAACTCATTGCAAACGATGATTCTGACGTTGAAATGTCTGATGATGAAAATGAAATTGAAAATATGGATAATTTAGTAGAGAGAGAAGACGAAATAATTGATGAAGAACTGCAGAGCAGCAGTGACGAGGAAGAAGAGGACAGAATTCCTCTTAGTGTCCTTAGAGAAAAGTTAAGAACGGCCAAAGAAACTTCCAAAAAGTATGTGATAGCACAAATGGAAGGTATGTTGAACTTAAGGAGTATCCCTTAGATTGACACTTAATGAGATTAAAAATTTCTTTGGGATAGTTTGTTTAATGTCCTGCCTAAAATATCCTAGAATCAGATTGTACTGGGGAAAACCCACGCGGATTGCAGCTATTGCGGATGTTATGACTCGAGATAGGTTTTTTCTATAAGAAGTAACCTCAAAGTCGTAATTGATGGCAGCATCTCTGAAGAGCAACGCAGGTCTGACAAATTCTGGAAAATGCGTCCGATTTTAGAAGCAGTATCGCAGGGGTGTTTGCAGCTACTCAGAGAGAAAGTAGTAGCTGTGGATGAGCAGATGATACCATTCACAGAAACTTGTCAAATGAAGCAGTTCGTTAGGGGAAAACCCAATCTAGAGGGATTGAAAAATTTTGTTGTTGCTGCTCCTGATGGTCTTGCCGTAGACTTTGAACTATATCAAGGCAAAAATACGTTTCCAGATAATTCTGTAAAACGACTTGGTGTTGGTCCCTCTGCTGATGCTCGTCTTGGAAGAACATTATTTCCTAGAACTCATGTGTATTGCGATAGATATTTTACAATACCACTTCTTGAATATTTTCGCCAACAAAAACATATTGTACTGGAACGATTATGAAATCTCGTCTACCAGCGGCAGCACATTTAACTTCAGACAAAATGATGGCCAAGATAGGTAGAGGTAGCTCGGAACAAATTGTAAGGCAAGATGACGAAATAGTGGTTGTACAATGGTATGACCTGAAATCTGTACTTTAGGCATCTACTGGTCTAGGAATTCAACCTAGTGATAAGTGTAAACGGTGGTCTAAGAAAGACTCTAAATACATACAAGTTCCAAGACCTTACATTGTTGCTAAATACAACGGTTGTATGGGAGGAATTGGCCTGATAGATCGAATGATCAGCTATTACAGAATTCAAGCCAGATCAAAGAAATGGACTGTGAGAGTCATCTTCCATTTCTTTGATTTAGCAATGGCAAACTCATGGATTTATTATCGAAGAGATAAAAAGATATCTCAAACCTCTACAAGAAAAATACAGCAATATCTAGATTTCAAAATCGAAATTGACACGCACCTTTTGAAAAATGAATCCAACATTTCCCAAGAAATTATGCGAGGTATAGGAACTCGAAGAAATCCTGATGATAATATCATTGTTCATTCGCCAACAACAGGCACCGAAAGAAAGCGGAAAGAACATTACCCAGAAATTGCCTCAGATTTAAGAAATTCGGTTCGATGTACGATGACAGTTGTGCTAAAAAACCGAAGTTTTTTTGTAATAGATGTAACACATTCTTATGCATAACTGGCAACAGAAACTGCTTTATAGAGTTCCACACCAGATGAATTTAAGTTTACGTTTATTTTCTATGTTCTTATAAGTTTAAGTTTTGATTTTAAATGTATTTTTTAACCATTTAAATAAATTATACATTAAGCATTTTTGTATAGGTGAAGACCCAATGTCCATTTTAATGGGCGTCATGTATCTTTCAAAATAAGAAAAAAATAAAAAATGTTATTAGTAAAAAATGTTTATGTATTTTCTGTTATATTTGAAAGCATCACAATTCTAACTTAAGAAAAACATGTCTGGGTCTCAGGAGGATATAACTCGGAAACTGCTAACTTGCAAAGTAGACCACTTCATTCAAAATTAACCTAATCTTTAATGCTTAATAGGAATTTTGGGTTTTCTAAAATCTAATTTTGTTATTTGTTATCCAAATCCAAAATAAATTCTACTAAAATAGGTTCCTTACTAGTGAAAACAAAGGCGTAGAATAGCCCAGTAGAAAGTGTACCTTTTCAGGCAGCTTTTGACGTCTGGTTTGTTGTTTATCAAGCATTATGTGTATTAAAGGTCAACAATTGCAAGTTTTTTCTTCAAGAAATGAGAAACGCCTAGTAAAACAGAGGTAAAGACATACATAGATTGGGAGAACTTGAAGAGCATATCGGTATTTGTGATTCAGTAATTATCAATGGAATATTAAATCGAGTAGGAAGGAAGGATTTATTGCTTTTCTTATGTAAAATGAGACAAGCAGTACGTTACGACTTTATAAAAATCATGATAATAGGTGTTTCGCTTTGTCCACTACTCTGGTGAAAAGTAGGATGTACGACTTTTAAAAATGAAAACAAGGTCAAATCCATGATCCCCATTGGTCAAACTTTGAGGAAAACACTATGCAACATTATGTTTTACTTCTTGTCTGATAATATTACCTTAAGACTTATGCTATCCTCCCATATGAATAATCCCTACTTCGGGGTTTTTGGGTTTCGTAGGAGGTAAAGGAGGGGTGTCACGGGGTTGGCCCCATTGGGACTTTTGATCGCCATGTTGAAAACTACCTCTATGCGACTTTCCAACAAATTTGGCCGAAAGCCATTTTTCAAGAGGAAACTGTCATTTTTGGCAAAATAATAAATTCCTGGGTTATATCTCCAAATATTTCAAGTTCCTTCATAGAGTTAACTTCATCTTTATAGATGAGACTGATAGACGATGGCGAGACTTTCTTGCTGTTTCTACTTTCAGCGCATTGAAATCAGTGACATCCTTTGCTCCGCCGCTGGCCAACCGTATCACGCTAAATAATACACAATATAGGGAACCAATGGCTGACTGAGTGCATTTAGTTATTTTCATGTATAATGACCCCTCGATTTCACAAATAATTCAAATGGGTAAATTGAGCGTTATATCTGCTGTTTCTTTACTCGCATGTCGTTTATTTCTTTTTCTACCTCCGTTGCTACTGTCTCACCACACACATACTGTGTGATTAGTTGATTGTATGTATGTGCAAGGTAATTGTTTATGAGGTAAAGTATATAGGTATTATACTAATCAACAACGTCGGGTATAACCAGGCACGTAGCCTTGGGTTTCCAGGAGGCAGCGCGGTTTGGGAGAGGTATGGGTATGGGTCTACTAACCAGTCGCCGTGAGCTACGCGGGTTCGAATTCTGTCCGAAAGGAATTTTTCTCCTGGCCATTGGTCAATTTATTTTCTGGAGATGTGCGCTAAGTTTTTTGGTAGATTTCGATAGACATTAAAACAAAAAGCAAAAACTTGCCGTGAATGAAAATTGAAGAGGAGGCACTTTGCTTGAGCTTCGCTCGGTTTTTAATAAATAATAGCTTAAAAAAACAAAAAAAAAACATGCTTTTATAGCGAACCGAACTAAAAAATAGAAAATAATATCAGAAAAAACTTGCTTCTAAGGTCTTATTCTTTCTTAGCTCTTAGATCGTTCAACTTCACTCCTTCTGAAATGAGATTTATAAGAAATTTGAATTAACTTGAAAAAAATAATTGATAAATCGAACTAAAAAATGAAAAATAAATAATAGTTTAAAAAACTAAAAAACACGCTTTTATAGCTAATCGAACTGAAAAATAGAAAATATTTTTTTATTACAAAGAGTTTATATTACAGTAGTATCAATCATAATTAATGACCGCAAAATAAAATTGTAATAAAATTTAAGTTATTAACAGAATAATTCAATTAAGAGTAAAAGGCGTGGGGTGCTTGATATATTAAATGTTACAATCATTCTATTGGCAACTATATATGAGACGAGAGTTATGAAAATGTAGTAAAGTGCACCCCACGCTTTTTAGGATGAATTGAATTATTCTGTAAATAACTGAAATCTTATTATAATTTTATTTTGAGGTCATTAATTATGATTGATTGTTAGACCATCTACTACTATAATATAAACCCTTTGTAATTAAAATTATTTTCTACTTAGTTCGGTTAGCTATAAAAGCGTGTTTTTATTTTTTTCACACTAATATTTATTTTTAATTTTTTTAGTTCGATTTATCAGTTAGCTTTTTGTGGATATGTGGTATTGAAATGTCTTACGAATAATTTCGTGATCTATTCATTTCATTTAAAGCTTCCCTGTTGCATGTGCTTTTTCCTGTTCACTTCAATCCCAATACCGTTTAAAGTTCTTACACGACCAAGTGCTACATAAGCTTGTCCAGCAGCAAACAATCGCGAGCTAGATACATGACTGTACAACCTTGCATCTTGTAGACGGTCGAAGCCCAACACAAGATTAACGGCAACATTCGCAATGAACAAGATGAGAATGCACCTTGAAAAAGTATCTGCCTCTGATGTGCTGTGCCGAGTGCCCGAACCAACAAAGAGTGAGTCCGAAACTGCACGCATGCGCAGGTCGCGCACTAGCTCTATATCTGTTAGAGATAGAGGATCTATAAAAAAATAACAATAGGATAGCATCAATTGCTATCAACGACTGCTATATATTTAAAAGAAATAGAAGGGAATAGGTCGCCTCGAAGCTACCATTTCAACCCGCTGGACTATTTTTTGTCGGGTGCTATCAAGGACAAATGTTATACTAACCGTCCAGAGACAATGACAGCTATCTTCAACTCAAAGTCAAAGATTTGAAACTAGATGGAAAAGGGACAGAATTGTTAGAAAATCAACCCATCGTTCGCTTCTTCGTTACGTTTTGACGTGAAGTGACGTGAACAGCTAATTAGCAATTGACACCTTTGTTTATAACATTAGATATGACGTTCAGCCCAACTAGTGTCATCTGCTTCTCTTGAAATACAAAATTCAAAATATCAATAGAGATTCAAGCCCAAACAAACGAAAAAATACTCGAACAGTGACTGTCATTTGAATGATACTGCGTTTCATTCCCGAATGTAAGCGTTCAACCCGTCTAATAAAACCACAAATTGAAAAAAATCAATAGTTTCTGCCCTTGCGAAAAGTTTTGGAAACGGGACATTATGTTTTCTTGATGTTATATGACATGTAAATCTCGAAAAACCGTGTCACTCATTTCTGACAGTCAGTCTGCCTGTCTGCCGCTCCATCCGCCAGTCGTATAACCGTCTATAATTTCAGAGGTATTGGGTTTTTACACAATCTGACTACTTTGCCAAGGGCGCAAAAGTAAGTTTTAGAAAATTGGTCCAGTAGCGGCAGATAAAAAGTACAAAAACAATACAAAAAAATGAAATCGCTCAAACTTCGGTTCTTTGACATTTCAAACTACCCTGATTTTTTTGATAAAAATTTGTAGGGGTGAAACATTGGGAGTTAAAGGTTGCAAGGGGTATATCTCAACTTTTTGAAGTTGGTATGTTAATATGCCTCCAACCCCAGTAATTCTAGGCACATGTTAGGCATATTTCACTCATCATAGATGTCCCCATATATTTACCCTAAAGGCAGAGATATCTCCTACAGTCGAGTGTCGATACGTGCGACATGGTCCCCCGATGAACAAGCGTCGTCGATGCTGTAGGACTCAGTCGGAAATCGTTTCCACACTGCTGTGGGCTGTGTGCACTGTGCATGGTGAAATCATTCGTCATCGCAACGATCATTCCTCTCAGGGGTAGGAGGAGTGTCATTTATTTTTTTGATATACATGTTTGTAGCACACTAGCAAGTTTCTAAGAGTAAAGACGCCATTTTTTATAGTCGATTCTAAATGGACCAACTTTTTCCTGCCACTGACCTACTAGAAGAAACTGACGAAACCAATGCAACACTGAAGTGCTCTATGAAATTGGCCATTATTGGTGGAGTTCGTTAGTGCCCGGTCTCACGCCATCTGCAACCCATTCGCTCCTAATTTTAATACGAAATACGTTTTGGCGTGGTAATGGCTCTAACACACGAATTTCTTGGTTATATCCGTTCCTTGCCGATACGCTAGGAATGCATGAAAACGCTTCCAGGTCAAAGCTAGTGTCATGATTTATAGACATTATTTCGAGCAGAACACCATGCTTTTCTGGGCTAACAAGTCCACATACGAAGGAATTACTCTTTACTGACGTTTAGACCACCACGGTGGCCTTCTTCGAAGTACAGATTACAGATTTATTAATACACTACAGATAGTACTCTCCTAGGTACAGTCTGCGAAAACCATAAGTTCGACAATTTGGAACAAGCAGTGTTGAAGATCATTTTAAAGTAATCTCAAAACACTTTTCAGGGTCTTCTAGAGCGAGGTTTTAGCTTTAATCCAGACACTTGGCGATATCGATAATTGTAATTTTTAACCGAGATTTTTAGCATTGAATATATCCATTTTTAAGGCCTTTCAGACATAACTGGAAAATGACTAGCTTTAGAGAAAAGTTAACGGGAACCTTTTTTGTTTGGAATGCTCAAAAAATCTGAAAATCATTTGTTATTGATATTTAAAAAAACTTGTTCAAGAAAATTTGATCTGGGGTACGGCACGGGTATTTCGTAAGTTGAAAAGTGACATCCTGTCGTTTTTTTGACAGTTCGTAGGTTTTTTGAA